GAATATATCACAATTATTGAAAACAAATGACATTTATTGCAAATCTGGCCACCGCGAAAGTGGCGCAGATATGTTTCCTCGCCAGGTCTGGCATACACAAGAAATTTAGTACCCACCCCCCGACGGAACACCTACGAGGGGTCCGAACGTGGGTAAACCAACGCCTTCTCTTATCGGTCATTAGGCCGGGTACGGAAGACCCAGTCTTAACTCCGCGTCCGTGTAAGGAGTTTTGTGGTTTGCTTTGCCCCCAAAGTGCCACACGACAGCAAGTGTACAGCGTGTCAGGCTAGGGGGCAAAAACAAATGACACGTGTACATATTCTAAAAGAGATAACGTCAGCCATATTTGGAAAAAAGTTTGGTTACGATTCGTTAATTTTTATCAGTTTTGCACGCCTTAGAATATGGTGGCGAATAAAGTGCATTATAGGCATTTAATGCTTTTCTTTCTCCGAAAGGGCAAAAATGCCACACAAGCGGCGAATAAGATATGCGCTGTTTACGGCGAGGATGCTGTAGCCGAAAGAACTGTGCGGAAGTGGTTTGCTCGGTTTAAAGCTGGAAATTTCGACCTTGAAGATGAAGAACGCCCAGGTAGGCCGTCCACCACAGACGAGGATACGATTAGAACAGAAATCGAGAATAACCCACGCTCGACATTACGTCAATTAGCAGGAATGCTAAATAAATCAAAATCAACCATCCGCGATCATACTGTGAAGCTTGGCTCCAATATTTAAATGAGCTGCGTTTTAATTTTCCTACAAAATCGGCACGAACTTTCCGGACAACCCAATATATTTAAGAAAGAAGTGAAGGAGACACGGTGAACAAGCGCACAGTATGAGAATTACTGTGTACTTATACCTGTGTACTCTCAGGTATATGGAAAGCCTGCACTTCAGGATGTGGAGGTTTTCCAAGACTCAAGAAATTAGTTCTTTTGTTTCAACAATTTTGTGTGTGTCGCGTTTTGGATATATCTTGTGGATTTAGAAAATAATTTAGCGCTTCCGTCGAATAATTTTTACGAGGTTGAAGTTGAGTGAAAGTTTTGATATAGGCACAAAAATTTTGGACGCAGAAAAGACACAAAAATTTCGACGGAATTGGTCGATCGTTTGAAAATTATTTATCGGATTAAAAATCGAATCAAAAGTATCGGAAGAGGCTGAAATAATTTAAGAACATCGACGGATCATTCTCATCTTGCTAAAATTATCGAGGGAAGAAACAAATTTTCTATTTTCCTTCGAGTTCTTAAAATCGATGCAGAAAATGTTTATCGAAAAGATCTTCGATGCGATTACTAAATAAGTCAACGCACGATTATTTCCTATCTCTAGCAACGACAATAGAGAAACGAGTCTTCGCAAGCGTTGCAACATTTCTGCATGGGATCGTCGGCGGTTGGAAAAAAAAATATTTGATCGCTCGAAATTGATTAATTCCGCTGCGGAATATTTCCCGGAGTCGTGCAATTAGTTTCGATAGCCGAACGAGTTGCGCAATCGGGCCGATACATCGACTATTTAGCGAATCGCGTTTTGCCAGCGAAAGTTGAATCGCAAAACACGAGGGTCCCGACAAAGGATCGAAACGATCGAAACGTCGAGTTATCTCGTCTATCTCGCTCGGCGGGGATTAAAGCGAAGGGCTGGAAATTCCTGGATTGATTTAGGTAACGATCGATCCGCCGTGCAATTAAATTCGTGCCTTTTCGCTACTGGAAACGGGATCGCGTCGCGGCCTGAAATAACCCGTATGAAACGTATTAATTCGCAGTTCGCGCGGCGTTTTCCATTCTCTTCTCTTCTTTTTTTTTCACCCTTCCCCGGTGCCGCTTTAAAACTACTGTTACGGGAGCGACGATTCGATGGAAACGTAACGGAAGGGCGAGCCTGGAAGCACACAGTCCGGGAAAATCGCGATCGAAAATGTTCCAACGATATCTTTTTCTCCGAGTTCCCGCGGGAACGCGTCCGAACGATCGGCGAGTTTTTGTAGGAAAATTTACAATCTTCAAGATTTCCTGTTTTAGCAAATAAAAATTCGCCGAACGATATCCGTTGGATCTTTATAGAAAAATTGATAAAGACGAGTATTTTACGCTCGCCGAAATGCGAATCTGTTCTACGAGATAATGGACTTTGGCATTTTCTGACCAGAAAATTGCGGAATATTTTATTATCGGACCGTTGCGAACACCTTCTCCGATGCCTCAGCTTTCACCTCAAATTTTTTTATCCCGGAAAAATGAAATTCGTGCTTGCTATATACGCGATCATGCGCGTCCTCGATCAAGAAATCCAAAAGACCGACAAAGCGTGCTTCTCTCATTCAGAGCGCTGCATCTGCGACAATTTCGATGATTTTGCATTATCATTTTGCGAAAGTATTCTTGAAACATTGTTGTTTTTTAAGCGAACGCTGAAATTCGATTTCTTCGACTCTTCGGATCGGTCGATCATTTTCAAACGATCACCGACAGAGCGTTCGGCTTTCGATCTACGAAATCGAATTAAGTACGATTCGAGCGTGCTCGGTGCATTATTTAATGTTGCGGCAGGTGGTCGCGATCCTCGACGAGCGAAGTCGAAGCCAGAAGTTATGGCGAGCGCGATAGAAAACCGGGCATTGTGGCCCGGTTCTATGGAAGCGTTGCGTGGCGGCGCAACGTTAATGGATTGCCGGTGGTTTTGTGGATAAATCTAGAGATTTCGGGGACGAACGCGGCCCCGAGATGAAAGTTGTAAACGGGTGTTATTGTGCGGTTATGCCGTCGGTGCAGCGGCGTCGTTTAACTTCAAAAGGCAGTTACGTATTCCGAGCGTCGCGTTCGATATTATTGTTACCGGCTGTAGCCGTGTTCTCGCGGATAACGAGTCGAACAATGCGAAACATACCGCGGAAGACGAACAACGCGAACTGCACGGAACGAGCCGTTTAAAGCGATCGCGACGATTTATTTCACTGTATGCCGATACTCCATTTTATTTATTAATGTAAAAGGAAGTCTAGTAGGAAATATACAGGGTGTCTCAAGAATGTCTCGCAATCCGAAAGTGGGGGATTCCTGAGGTCATTCGAAGCAACTTTTTCCTTAACGAAAATGCAATCCGTGACTTCGTTTACGAGTTATCAACGAAAAACGGTGACCAATCGGAGGCGAGATCGTTTGGCGCGAGACGGCCGAGCCAGTGAGCGGAACTGGGCACCGCGCACTCGTTCGCTGGGCCGCCTCGCCCCAGCCGAGCTCGCCTCTTATTGGCCAGTGTTTTTCGTTGATAACTCGTAAACGAAGCCTCGGAGAAAATTTTCGCAAAGGAAAAAGTTGTTTCGAATGATCTCAGGAACCTCCCATTCCCGAATTACGAGACATTTTCGGGACACCCTGTATATAGTAACTCGATCTTCAAAATTTGTAAGCTTTCGTCCAGTTGAAATTGGTGCAATTTTTACGATTTTCTGTGTCCATCAATTTTCATCGAATTAACTTTACAACGGGAAAATAAAATGTTTCGAAGATGAAACATGGAAAATAATTCTCGATTAAAACGTTCGAACGCATCTTCCGACCCGATTCGTAGAACTAATTGAAATTTCGGAAGATATCTTCCGAGGTATCTTCGGCGGATTAAACGAAGGTTCGGAAAGGTGTCTCTTGACCTTTCGGGTAAAAATAGAGTTAATAAAGCGCGAGAGAAGTCCGTTCTGGCACGTTTTCGCTCGAACATTTAACCGAGGGCGACGAGAAACGAAATGCTGTGGGTCCGCGCGGCGGGAGACAAATGCGAGACGATCGCGATCGGTTCGCCGGATACGGCACTCGAATTTGTCGGAGCGGACCTAGTTCCAGGGTTAACGAGCTACCGAAGAATTGCTTTCACTCACCTCGTAATATCTGGTACAGGAAGACCTTGATGTGGTCCGGGCTGAGATGCTGCGGACTAACGATGATCTTGTGCAGATCGCTTTGAAGCAGCTCCGTGATCACGTATCTATTCGAATGAATCGTTAAGGAATTTGTTATTAACCGGTTCACAGAAATCGTTCGCCGTAGGACGACGACCGCGTCCAGCTGATTTTCTCTCTGTCTCAACAAGGATCGACGCGTATTAAATTCGTAAAATTCTCCCGAATTTTCCTTCAGCTTCTAAACAAAAATGAACAATTTCGGGAAAGGAGGTGCTTCATTTTTGCAGATTGTCAACTATTATAAAAACGAGGCGCGAGGCTCGGATAATCGTATCTCCTCTTCCCAAGTTGTCCATTTTCGTTTACAAGTTGAAAATAAATTCGGGGTTAAATTTACTGTTTTAGGCAATGAAAGTAAATTGTTCTTCGTTCGACGAATGAAACGGCGCGTGTTCTTCTAGTGTTGTTAGCCGATACAATTGTTCGAATAGAGTAGAAACATCGAGACTCCAAAAGGTATAGTAATGTCTCTCTAACTGACGCCCAGATTGCGCACAAACATGTTCCGTGGCCAAGGGAAAGCTGAATACAGTAATGTCTCTCTAATTGATGCTCAGATTGTACACAGAAAAGGACAATTCGGGAAGAGGAGATACGATTATTCGAGTCTTGCGTCTCGTTTTTATAATTATTGAAAATCAGTAACTATAAAAACGAGTTGCAAGGCTCGAATTCGCAAGGCTCCTCTGCCCAAATTGTCCATTTTTCTCCAAAATCTGAGCGTCAGTTAGGGAAACATTACCGTAGTTCTCTCAGTTCGAACTGGGACAACAGGTTCCGACGTTCGCGTGCGAAGGACTGTCGCGAGAAATACTGCGGCACGTGTCAAATCCATTTTTCCGAGTCGTTTAATCGGATCGCGACAGCGCGAATCGAAATCGTCGGCTCGTCGCGCGATCGATCGATCGAAACGAGTCGGCGCGTCGACGGCGAAACCTCGGCCCGACGACGACGACGACTTAATGGATACCTCTCGTCGGCTTCGCGGGAGTTAATCCGTCGAAATGACGCGGGAAAAAGAGAAGCCGGGAGGGGAAGAAAAAAGGAAAATCGCGAAGACAGAGGGCAGAGGGGAAAGGGTAAAAACGAAGGCGGAGCTGACCGAGGAAGAATCCGAACGATGTCGTGGTACCGTGACGAAAGTAGCTGGCCTTAATAAACCGGGAGGCTAATTTACGGCGCTTGACGGGCTCGAAACTTCCTCGGGACCAGGGGGCCGACACAATGGCGGACCGTCCGCTTCCGGGGCTCGCTTTTGTTGACGAAACGGCGAACGAACAGACGTTCCTGCCCCCCGGCCCGGCCCCGCCCGATTATTCGCCGAATTACCGACCGATTAATTGCGCTCGCCTCCGTCGGCGAACCTTCGATCCGCCCTTCGAAAATCCCTTCTCGGATTTTTCCCTTCCGTCGAGAACCTTCCGCTATTGTTCCCCGAGTCTCGCGGACTTCTCTTCGGATACATAATCTTCCGCTTTCTCGGTCTCCTCGTTCGTTCCCTTCGTACGACAACGAAGATATCTCGCGCGGTCTACGATCGATTAAAAAAGAAGAACTAGCTCGCGAAAGAAGAAATCTTTCGCTCGGTAACCAGGCTCGACACCCTTAACCCGTTGCCGCACTTCGACGAGTCCGACTCGTGCCGGCGATCTCTAATTATCATTATTTATTATACAGAATATTTGCTGTTAACACTTAGTCAACCGAACGGGGAGGTCTCCACGCTTTAAATTCAGTCGATCGGTGACCGAATGGATGATCAATGAAAAATTAAAAATGATCGCTTCATTTTATCAAGATCTGCAAGAGGCACGAATGCTGCAGAAGTGTGCTTCGTAATTTTTGTTTAATCGAGTGAAATATTTTAGTTTTACGAACATTTTTTCGGTTTCTAGCGCGGTCGTGGAAGTGTTAAGTATGAACGCGTTATTCCAATCTTTTCGGTATATAAAAATGACTGAAGATATAGTAATGTCTCTCCAATTGACGCTCAGATTGTCCACGAAAGTCGACAATTTGGGGAGAGGAGATACGATTATTCGAGCCTTGCGGCTCGTTTTTACAGTCGTTGGCAATCTATGACTATAAAAACGAATCGCAAGGCTCGAATAATCGCGTCTCCTCTCCCCAAATTGTCGACTTTCGTGGACAATCTAAGCGTCGATTAGAGAGATATTCGAGCCTTGTGGCTCGTTTTTATAGCGTTGGCAATCTATAACTATAAAAACGAATCGCAAGGCTCGAATAATCGCATCTCCTCTTCCCAAATTGTTCATTTCTGTGCACAATCTGTGCGTCAGTTAGGGAGACATTACTGTACCTCGTGCATCGCTATTTAAATATTTGAGAAAAAACGCGAACGCGATAGATATAAATCGTCTTTTTTCTTCTTAGAAATCATTGCGATCGAAAAACTGCTCGTCACCGTAATCGCAAAGAAAATGAAAAATGAAGAAAAGAAAATTACGAGAAATTAAGTCTAGAAACAGTCGACGTAAATCGATGCGGCGCGCGCGTCGAGATATCTTCGAATTTCCTATCGTGCATCGGCTACTTCGCTCGACCCGGCTCTACCCTCGTCAATTTCAATTTACGAATTAATTCGCGGCCTCCAGAAAACATTTCCGACGCGATACGGTTTAACGCGACGTTGGAAGAGCCTCGGAGTCGGGTTCTTTTCTTTTCCCTTCGAATTCCTCTCGAATCTCGCCGCGGTAACGAACGATCCCGCGGAGGAAACAACCGGGGAGAGGAAACCGAGAAATGGTAAAAAAAGAGGGCACCCGGCGTTCCCCGTGGGGCACCGTCGAACTACCGGAAGCTTAATCGTGGCTCGGCCGTATCGGCGGAGCGATCTCGAGGATCGTGAGATCCGCGGAGCGTCTCTGGGACACGTCGATCCTCGGCCGAGGAACATCCTGTCGGCGCGCGCGGACGCCTCTGGAACAGGTTGCCTCCGTCGGCCCGATCCTCGGGGATCTCGCGAAAAATATCCGGTTGCCCCGGGGCCCGGCCGGCCCATCCCGGTCCTCTCGGTCCCGTCCTTCTTCCCTTTTCGGAGGCCCGGCCGGATCCCCCGGCGCATCGATCGTATTTCAAAAGAGATAGTTCGAAAGCAACGCGTCGCGGCCCGAGCGGCAAGAGGCTGCGCCGCGCTTTAAGTGTTCCACGGAGGCCGAAGCCAGCCGGCCGGACCAGTCGACTTGCATACCACGCCGGGTTCGCAGCCAGCCTCTACCCGCATTCCAACCTACTAGTCGACCTCATTCCGCCATTATACTATTTCATTCTCCTCGCGAGCCTTTTCTCTCCTCTCCTCGCGGCCGGCCGCTCTCGGCTCTCGGCTCTCCGCGCGTCGACTCAGCGGCCGAATGAAAAATCAAATTCGAAGGTCGCGGACCGTAACGCCTGCCCTAAAATCCCGACCGGTCGTTTAGGGGAGCCCGTGTGGCCGGCCGTGATCCCTCCCGCGTCTCGAATTATTCTCGATCCGGACACCGTCCACCGCAGAAAAGGAACAGCCCGAGCTTCTAATCTTCGGACGGCGGACATTTTTCAGCCAGTTTATGCCAGTCACGGACGGATCGAATCTTTACGGTCGATTTTCATTCGTACCTCATTGAAACCTCTTTGTCGAAAGCGTAGCTGATCCTTTCGTTGGTTTCAATATCAACGGTTAATAATTATTACGGTGAATTCTCTCCAATTTTTTGCTTGTCGATTCGACTTTCTATTTTTCGGATATTCGATCGTCATATCGTTCCAGACTGTACGAAAGTTCGAACAAATTCCGAGGTTCTACTCGTCGAAGTCCCCAATTTGATGCACGAGTGTCGGTCGAACGAAACACAATTAATGCTCGGGGATTGCTGTTTCGATGTAATTAAGCAAATTAATTTTCGGCCGACTCTGAACGAGCCGCAGCGTTGGCGGAGAGAGCTGTGATTCCTAGTTAATTTCTAGCAACGCAAACCTGGCTCGAAGCATACAATATCTCGTTCGATGAAGGAAGACCGAATAGCTCGGTAAATGATTCCGATTCCAAAATCATTATTCGACGTGCTGGGACTTTTACTTCGGCCCGATACACGGAGCGATAAATTACTAAACCGGGACACGCCGCGGTGTGCGCAATTATAGACTCGAAATCTAAATCTTCGCATCGTTTCCGATATGAGCCGTTTATTAATATAATATATTACATTATTATAATATAATTATTATTATTATTATATAATTATATTAATAATATAATATATATATTATTATATATATATGTAAGTCACTTTTCTTTTTTTTTTTAAATGAAAAGATACCGTTCAATTGTAATCAGTGTTACCATAAACTCGACTTTTTTGAAAAAGTGACTTATGCCACTTTCAAAATAAACGGCTCATATCTAAACGAAAACTTAACAAAATACAGTATTTGAGTATTCCTATTTTTAATTATTTTCAATGTTGAAATGTACAGATACGATGCGTTGTTACGTTCTTGTTCAACCAATTAGCTGTGTTCGATGTGAGAGAGGCGCCTCAATTAACTGTTTAAATTATCGCAACGTCGTCTCAGAAAATTCATCTGCAAATACCGTCGAGAACGCAAAAGTTACTTCGAGTCGGTAATTACTCCCTGTAAATGTTTTCGAAGATAAATGCCTGCTTTCGCATCCTACAGAAAAAGAGAGAGAGAAGACGATTTCGATTTCGGAGAAAAATCCGCGGCCCGATAGAGTCGGCCGAAACGGTTTCACACGCGGGCAGAGGAGCGGGCCGTGGAGATCGAAGGCTCTCGGGATGAAATAATATCGGCGATGCCATGCCCCGTTTAATTTTCAAGGTATTCGATCAGTCGAACACACTCGTGCTGAATGGCATCGTGGCTGAATGACTCCGAACGACTCGCGCGGCGCCGCGCCGAGCCGCGCCGAGGCGGCTGAATGCGCGCACTCGTCACTCTACCGATTTTCCCGGGGACCTTTGATTCCATTGCGCGAGCCTCCGCTCGATTCGCGCTTTCCCGG